AGTAAGTGGCGGCCATAATCGACGAAAGCCTGCAGGCAAAGGTGCGAAAAGGCCGCCGCCCAAAGGGAGGTCAGCCTGGCACTCATTGGCACTCAAAGGTGCCAAATAGCAAGCAAAGTAGGGTGTCTTCTTGGTCTATGTATCGCCGCACCGTTGCAAAAGGTATTCGCTGCGTAGTGAGCCGAGAGGAGCGAGAGCCTTAGTTCTGCGTTCCTAACCGGCGGGTGGTAGATAGTGGCAATGAAGGATGCCCAGGGGGAACCTTAGTTCCCGCTGTTGATGTCCGACATTTCCAATTTTGTACAAAGAGGTACAGATATCATGCTAGGAGAGCTCAAAGTTTCACATGTTTCACACGGGCCTTGCACGCAGCAGACCACTTTTCGCAATTACGCAGCGCCTCACTGATTCAAGAAACATCCCCTTGTGGCACCAGTGCGCGCCGAAGGGTGCTGGGTTTGCCTCCCCTCGGGGAGGTTGTGCCCTGTTCACCCTTAGCTGCAGGCTGCTCTCGCTAGGAATTGCCGCCACGATTTGGCTTTTGTCGGGCAGCATGCGACTGGCCTTGTATGCGCCACCAGTTGAATGGGTTGTGCTGCAAGAATGGTCTTTTCCACGGATTGCTGCTCAGATCTTGTCACTCTTGGTCGACCTGATTACAACCAGCGCTGGAGCATCGCGAGACACTGACCTGCAAAGTGACCTTGTTTTGCCACACTGTGGTGTGGCCGCTGGTCACCAATATTCGGGAAGGAAAGTCCGTTTGAAGCCTCCTAGGCGGCTTTCCATGAACACAGCTTGCGCTGCCGTCCTTTTCCTTTGAGAATTCAGGCCCATTAATTGCCACTAGTTTCCGTTTCACATGTCTCACCCAGTGTAGAGGAAAGACTACAAGATGGTGGAGTTTCGGCCTGCGGGCTTGGGTGTTTGGTTTTGGGTTGGTTTTGGGGTCTTTGTTCCTTTCTCCACCATCTGTCTGTTCTTCCCTTCCTTCAACGATGACCTGGGCACCATGCCCACACGGCGTCCGTACTCGTGGAAAAAAAAGATGACCTGGGCACCATGCCCACACGGCGTCCGTACTCGTGGAAAAAAAAGTGGGGTTGTGGTTTGGGTTTGGTTTTTGTTTGGTCTTGTTGGTTTTGGGTTCTGTTGGGTGTTTTCTTTGCTTCGCAACCTGGCTAGTAACTCTCTCTTATGGCACAAGATGACCTGCAACCTCTGCACACATGGCGTCTCCACCCGTGCAAAAAAAAGTCGACATTCCTGAAAAGTCAAAACATGCGCAAAACATGCACAGAGTGACTGAGAGGCAGGTTTGCTTGTTTGACGCCCCGTTTTGTTTCGCCTTCCTCGTTTTGTTTTCACTCTTGCATGACCCGATGAGTTGCGTCTTGGCCAGGTTGGTTGCTTGGGTTGTTTTGTGTTTGGGTTGCTGTTTTGTTTGGTTTGTTTCTTACACCCTGGCCAACGACTCACCTTCAAGTAGCGCAAGATGACCTGTGCATTCTCTGCACACAAATGGCCAAGACCTGAGAGCTGTTAAAAGTGGATTGGTAAGATGCAGCATGGCAAGTTGCAGTGTGAAGGCCGCTGCTTTTTGTCGCAGTTCCTAGCCGTTGGCATCTGCCGCACCACGTGCCATGATCTGATTTGCGGATCATTTTTCAATCTTGGTGTCGTGTGATTTTTTCACGGTCGTTGAGATTTCGCGTGTTGGGTCCAGCTGTTTGACTTTTGAATATTTTTTCTCACTTTTGTGCTCCGATGGCTGATTCTCGTCCTCGCTCAGGATCCCTTTGAAAATGCTATTATTCTGTGCGTGGGGGCCGTGATCGTAACTCCTGAAGGAATTTCAGCCTTCTGCAACAAATCGTTGTCGTCGTTGTCACCAAGGGACTGTGAGCAGTCAGCTGAAGTCTTACGCTTTCTTGCTGGTGTGTCCTTTGAGGTTTCCGAACATGTACGAAGCTACCTTTGCTTCCATGCTGTGCCGTGAGATTCTCAAAGCTGATCCACAATTTCATGTCATCGAGGAGAAAACACGAAGTTCTTGTGTATCGAGGGCAATTCGGTCAAGCAGATACAATCAGTGCTGGACTGTCGAAGGGAGTTCGAGAGACTCAAGGAACCCTGTTCTTTAGAGAAGGCAGACTGAACAGAATTATGATGGCGGCAGAGTGAACTATAATAGCTGAGGGGCGCTCACACCGAGGGGTAGTGTGAAGAGTTTTCAACATAGATCACAGGTATGACGGTACAGCATACTTAGCATCTCTCACTTGACCATAACCCTTTGAGTGATCAGAAAAAGTTCGCACAAAAATGTTCTTCAAAAGGGTGTTAGAACACTGTGCCACAAGAGTGCCACAGTGAAGTTCGTGGGTTTTATGTGGGTGTATTTTACCGTAGTTGTGCCTTGCGCTGCTGAACACCCACTCATCACTCGTCGATGTTGTGTCTCACATTAGTTTTCTATTTTTTCACTTGTTTTGTCCATGAGGCGGGGTGGCAAAATTTCCCACAGTTGTGCTTGGTTGTTTCGAAGCCAATCATTGGGAGGCTAAAACTTTGCTAATCATAGAGGCCGCAGATACCTGCAGCAATTTCAGGAAGTTGTCAAATTGAGCCGCGCAGTTTTGTTGTGGAGTAAGATGGTAAAACGCATTTTTGCTGCTATCAGGAAGTGGACACCTACATCACGTTTCATCCCAACACATTTTTTGTGTCAAGCGAACTACTTGTGTCTTTTTGCGCCTGCCATGGGTGTCGGACTCAGGGGCGTGAAACTATGAACCATGCTGCGGTTCAAGCCTCCAAAGCAGAAAACGGCTTGTGGAAACGATGGTCGGATCGCCGTGCCAATGAGGCTCCGGTGCATCAACCTCACGAGAGCCTGAAGAGGACGACCTATTTGAATAGCTGCAGGTAGCTGTGGTTTGGGTTTGGAAGGTCCAGGCGGGCAAAGTTGCTCACTTATTTTGTTTTCCCAGCTGCTCGTTGTGTCACCGCAGGAGAGTGAAGGGGTAGCCTCTGCAGCAGCAGCTTTGCTCAGTGGAGCATCTTTGGAGGTTTGGGCCCTGTCTTCCACGCAAGGTTAGATCCAAAATATCTGCCCACCATTCATCACTGCTCCTGGGAGGCTTTGTCTTTGGATCAGCGTGCGGCGCTGGAACAGGTGAAATCTTTGCTGGAGGAGGAGATGCCTTAGCAATTCTTCTGGGATATGTCTTGATGCAATTTGTGGGTTCAAAGCCATTACATATTCATAGTTGGAACTGCATTCCAGACTTGGGAGCCGGGCTAGTTGTGCTCTTGTTTCGTGTGTTCGGCTGGGACGTGGAGGCTGTGAGGTTTGGTATTCTGCCACGGTTCATTCTGATGGCCGAGACAATGTTGACAGTTTTGGGTTCCTGTTGGTAAGAGATACCCTCCACAGGTATATCAGCAGTATATCCTTGAGCGCGGCGCCACCCATTAATGGTGTTCTTTCCCAGTATTTGGTCCAGTCTGACTTGGTCCATGAGGTTCCAATGCGCAGCGCGCATTTGGGAATGCAAAGCAGGAACCAGTCTTTGTGTAGCAAGGTGCCATTGTAGAGCAACTGATTGCTTTGCTTCACAGTGCAGGACTGAAAAATTCGGGGTCCTGTGGCGGTTTTGGAGTAATACCGGCGGCGTCCATATATTTGTTGAAGCGATGCGATCGTTTTTCTGAGACTTTTTCTCACAAACTGATTTATGCCTCCAGGAACGTGTTCAAACGAATCAGTTGCCCGAGCAAAACGTTTTCTTCTGGGCTGGTTTGGTTGCCTGGTTTCTCACCCCGAAAAGGGGCTTGGAAGCCCAGAGTTGGAGAGACCCAACTGTTGCGTCTGATACCTTCATCCCCTTGATCAAGGACACAGTCTCGTTTTGGCTCGTCAAGGTGGAAGCTGGCTGGATCAGAGAGATGGGATAGGTGTCCGGCTTGGCCGCGCTGTGGGCCTTGTCTTCTCCGCCTTGTTGGGGGATTCTCCAAGCCTTGTGTCCAGGCCTTGTGTGAGTCTGTATGTCCTCGTTGTCCGCGCCATCGGCCCTCTTATCACCGGTGTCCGCCCCGCCGCCGTTTTCCCTTCCTCCACTGCCTTGTAGACGTTTCCGGAATTCGGGGAACCGACGCAAAATAGGTAGAGCTGAAACTGTCTGGGGTCTATGCTGGCATATTCTTTTTCTCTCAAACATCAACATGCTCTTGTTTGCCGCGGTGTCAAGACACTGGAAGAGCTGCTGCTTTTCCTCTTGGACATGTCACATGTCATTCGGGTTGGATCAGGTGGGGTTGTCTCAAGGCAGTGAACTGACAGCATCTCCCAGCATCTCCATGACAGGATGGTTGGAGGAAAGGCAACAGGCATGGGCAAAGTGTACCAGTGCCACAAGACATGCCATAGGTGCTTCACCAAAGGAACCATGGTAGGAAGCAGCTACTCCATTGGGTTGAAGGCATGTAGGAAGTCTATGGACTTGCCTCAGGCGGAAGGGCGTCAATGTCCACTTCAAGTACTCTGGCGAGGTGCGTTCTGTCAAGCTTCAATGAACTCCTTCCCTTGTCAGCCAATCAGGTTATATAGTCTTGTTCTTCAGTCGAGTCCTTTCAGATTGCTGCTGACACGTCACACGCTCGACGACTGTGAGTAGCAGGCAGCATGTGCAATGGACATTTGTCAAGTCGTACACGTGGATGTAGGAGCGACAGAAAGTCGACAGCGAGAAAAGCGACAGAGGAGGCTACTAGGGGCTCCTGGCCTTACTACGAGCAAGGACGCTACTAGGGACTTCAGCTTGACGGATCCGATGTAGTCATGCAGCTTTGGCATGGGTGTTTGCATTCAAAGTCTCCTCAACAAAACATAAGTGCTGATTCACCGAGGATCACTTGCACCCAGATCCAAGTAGCAAAAACACTGGAAGAAACCCAGCTCCACAGACGAAGCCTTTGCCCGTTGCATGGTGCGTTCCATGACTGGACCTTTCAGATCGACCATTCAACGGCTGCTCACACTGGCGCTGGTAGCGCTGTGCCCCACGTTTCTTCAGCCTTGGGGGACTTTGAGGCCGCGAACCCAACTCCGCGCGGCACAGCTGGAATACTTTGAGGTATACACCAAGGACGACTTCGTTTGGAACTAGCCGAATGCACGGGGGCTTCTAGATGGGGTGGTTGATTTTGTTCTACTGCTTTAGCCATTTCCCGACAAATCTTTGGATAAAGCTGTCAAGAAAGTGAGCAGTTGGACTCTGGACGTATGAAGCTGGGGTGTTGTGGGATTTGGAAGGTGGACGTTTATGTGTGCAGGAAGACCACTGAAGTGCAGAATCACCGTTTGGACGGTCATTTTTGTAGCACATACAAGAGTTCTCTTTCCCCTGGAGATTCACGCTTCGTGAATCCTACTTCGATGGTGGTCCATATCCTGCAAGTTGCTGCATTCCTGCGAGGATGAGTTCCTGAAGCTCTTGCAAGAGCGACCGACTGAGCAGCGCTCTGTTGGGGAGCAGGAGAAGATTGAACGAGTCCTAGCTACAGATGTGGCGCTTATTGTGCAGAAGCACACCTTTCCCATCTCAACGCGGTCAGGTTGGGTTTTCGACTGAAAGCGGGTCCTGTTTGCAACGCTCACATCCGAACCTGTTTCATTGTCTGAGCTTGGGCTTGATCCTTGGAATGAGCTAGCTCTGTTAGAAGAATCTGCCCACGAAACTTGAATCTGTGAGGAATGGTGAGCTTTCTGGAAGCCAAGAACCCAACTGCTCGAGCTGCAGAGTCCATGTTGCTCGTGGGTCGATGGCAGCTGGCCTTTTGTGGAGTCAACCGGGGCCTAAAGGTGCCTTGGACATGCCAACAGTTTTCCAAGACCCCGAAGGGTCCATGTCCAGGCTTGTGACTTGATGTTGCCAATCCGCCAGGTCCAGCCAGTGCTTGATGCTTTGAAGGAAGAATCGTTGCCTAAGACCTCAGAGATTCAATCCGTGAGCTTGGAGATCTTCCAGGATCGCTGACGGTGGACATCGGCCCCTCCGACCCCGTGGACGGAAGGCGGTTTTTGGATAATATGTTTGGACTTTTGGGACTGGATGTTTGTTTACCAATCCCTGGATCCTCCAGGATCTTAGAAACACCTGACCCACAACTAAGTGAAACCAACTCGGCTCTGTTTGTGGGGTTGTGGGGTTGATGTAGGTGTGTGGGTCAACTCAGAGGACTACTCCATGAAGACGGAGATCGTGGCGGCGGGATCCTCCTTTGCGCGCCAGTCGCCGCTGAAGAAGCCTCCGCCGCGTGGGGAAGTGCTCAAGGAGGAGGAAGGCTTCAAGCGTTACGTCAAGGTGGTTCGGTGGTTCACCGCTTTCAAACCTTTCTACTTCCTAGAAGGGAGATTACATTGCATTCGTTCTTTCCGTGACACCTTCATCTGTACAACTTCCGTTCGATGGTAGATATGGTTTGGTGTCTCCGTTCGCTTGGCGTTTGGATCCACTGCGAAGTTCTTTGAGGTCACCTACTTGGATGATGATTTGCTCATCCTTCGAGGCCGCGGCGCATCGGAGGTCTATCGGAAGGTGCCCTGAGATCTGGACGAAACCCCGCCCGGGCCGTGGCATCAAAGAAGTGCTGCACCGAGCGCCGGCTTGACGGGATTGATTGTCTGACTGGCTTTCATGCGAAGGAAAAGCGAGAATCGATTGGAAAAAGTGAGATGAGACTGTGTAGAGCTCGAGGTTACAGAGGTTTATGGGGTATGCGGGCCTCAGGAAGCATAGCAGCTGGCCCACAATGAATTCTGCTTTTGTTGAACCAAGCACGCAGATGCAATCAGTATGACTCCGCAGTCGAACGTTTGGCAAGTTGATGTATATACTGTTACTTAAGTTGTAATCCTAGCAAGTAGTGAAATGCTATGAAATGCTGATGAAATGCGCTGGCCTATGGGGCACAATCGTGGACCTCCGAACAGACGCACAGTGTGCAGAATACAAAGGGCGGTAATCAACCTGTCTTACATCATCTTATATCCAGGTTCCAAGTCTTTCCCAAAACTCAGGGCACTCTTTTGGGCCTTTCCAACGCTTCAACCCGACGAACGACGCCGTCCACCAGGCCGGGCTCAACTACGTCTGCTCAACATGCAGGGTGCCCGACAGTGCTGCAGCGATGTTCGAGGACCAAGTGGGAACTACTTGGCAGCTTCCTGTTACTACATGACTGGTAGTATGGCCAGGAGCTACTAGTAGCTTCTTGCTCCTAGTAGCGATGCCCTTGTTGGTAGCAGCTTCTTGTTACGTTCGTAGTAAGAATGCTCCCAGTAGCGATGCCAGGAGCGCCTAGTAGCGTCCTTGCTCCGAGTAGTAAGGCCAGGGCCCCTAGTAGCTTCTTGTTACTAGTGGAGATGATGTATAAAGATCCATGCACAAGCCATTTCTGTGTCTAGGGTTATGGTGGCCTTGGGATCTGACCAACAGAGGAAGAAACAAATGATGAAGCTGTTGGTGCTATAGGCGAATCCCGAAGCAAGTGAATATATATATATATATGTGTATACTGGGGCCAAGTGAACCCGGAACATCCAGATGTTGCCGTCATAGCTTCGGAAGAATATGAGGCCTTAGATGCTTCTGGGAGATCCACAACCTCAGCGGCTCTAGCGTAGTATTAGGACGCTATTCGGCGGAGGCAACCGCAAGTAGGTTGGAGGCCATCGCTACTAGTAACAAGAAGCTACTAGTAACAAGGGGTTTGTTTCGACTCAGTTGCAGTTTTAGCTCGAGCCAACGAAGCGTGCGCGTCCAGCCGGGGGGCCTTCGGCCCCCCCCAAAAGCGAGGCGTCCAGCGGGGCGTCCGGCGGGGTGAGTCGAGCGGCGCTCGCTTGCGCATAGCTGCATAGCTGTGGCAAGCTTTAGAGTCATGGCTTCCCATTCTTGGGGTTTGGATGGTATCCTATTTATGAGACATAGCCACATGTCATTCAACTAGAGGACACCATTGATGCTTTTGTGCATGTGCTGGTTTACACATTGATTTCAAAGTCAAACATCCCACTTTGAGGTAACACATGCATGGTCATCGACCATTGCAGCGGTCCACCGTCGAACCAGGGCCGCCCGGTATCGATGCCGAGTGGCATCGATGCTGCGCTGAAGTCCCTCAAGGCGGATGCCAACATTCCACAGCCAACGAAGGTGGGGAGGATTTGGGTGACTCCAAATTTTCCTTAGTATTGCATTTTGACACATTTTGACAGTATGAGTATTGCATGAGTTGTTGGGCTTGAACTTAGTGGTGATCACGAGCTATATGGGTTCCACATGCTCGACTGAAATCCGAAAAGCCCTCTTCTCGAATGCGTTCTTTGGTTCAGGTGAACTACAATGGCTTTGAGCCAGAAAAGAAAAAGAAGCCCGAAGTCAGTGAAGTGACCATTGATCCGGCGGAACTTGGTCTCGACTCTGGGCTGAGAGTAAGCCCAACTAGCGGTTCGAATACGGAACTTTCAAACTCTTGCGACCTTTGTTTGGGCAAGGCGTTCAGAATAAGTCTTTTTGGTGAAGAAAGAGACAACAAGCTTGGACATGCTGACATGCTGAGTCTTTTTGTAGCTGGCACTGCGGCAATTGCTCAGGAAAAATGCCAAAAGATTGTTAAGGAGCAGGAGTTTAAGATCCGGAAGTTGAAGGAGAAGATGGCGGGCATTGCTCCAACCAAGAAGAATAAGGCATGGAAACTGCAGAAACTGCTTCTGCAACCTCCAAGCAGATCGAGGGATACGAAATTGGCAGGCAGAGATCAATGCCGTGAAGGAGCAGATCGAAGAGCTCCAGGTGCGGAATGTATCCTGTAGCGCCTGACGGAAGAATTTAAAATTAAGATAGTTACGCTGGCACAGTTCTCTTGGTCTTTGAAGTGGGTAGGGTGTCTCTACCAAGTGCTGGAGGATTTCTCCATCGACAGGCTCTATCAATATATATATATATATAACTATATATATACACATACATATATATATATATATATATCAGCTCGTCACCATAGAAAAGGAGCGAGAAAAATAAAGCATATATATATATGTATACATATCAATATATATACATATCAATATATATATATACATATACAATTGGCTTCCATGATGGATTGTACAGGTAGATCGCCATGGATCAAAACCTACTGCACCAGGTATTGCTAATGAAGGTCTTTCTTTTGATGTGATGATGTTCACCAGAGGTCCCGCCCACAGGACTCCATAAGTCATTAGAATTACGCACAAAAAACGGTTGCTTCCAGCAAACTTGGCGATGGATCACAAGAACCTACAGTTTGGAACAAGAAGCTATTAGGAACAAGTGCCACGCTAGTAGTAACAGGTGCCTTACTAGTAGTAACAAGAAGCTACTAGGAACAAGTGCCACACTAGGTTTTACCATCCTCCAGCGACACCTCTTGGCCCGGTCGGGCACCCAACAATGAATGTACGGTGTTTGTGCACAGGTGTTTTTTGAAGGTGTGTTGGTATGAGAGTATTTTCACCGTTGGAAGATGGTGGACCCTGTCTAGTAGAAGAGACTGGTCTCTTGTATTCTGAGAAACCACCGATACACCCTTAGTTACATACATACTCCCATACATACAATCACTTAAGAAAGATCCTGATTGTACTTGCTCCGCTCTTCTATCAATTATGGTCAACCTACTCATACCTGCTTGGGCCAGGCCGATGGCAATTACCGAGCTGCGATGAGCTTCGTGCGTAAGGCCGAGGAGGCCTGAATGGGACGACCGAGAGGGCTTTGATAGACTGATAGACTTCAACTTCGACAAACCGCCTTGACGGTTTGTCGCAATCTGTGCGTTTCACATTCTTTTTCGATATTCTAGTTGATGTCCTAGCAAGCACGTTGATTAAGACTGTGCCCTGACAGGAAGAGCGAGATAGACGGCGGGCGGAACGGGAGAAGGACGATGAAGAGGCGCTAGTTGGCGGCGGCCTTGGCAAGAAGAAAGGCACCGTTTGCGTCGAGGATTTGCTGTTTGCGTGTGCTTTCCCGGCGGGAACGGCAAACTACTGGTTGTTAAGTTCCATACGGTCGTTTTGAGAAGTAGCCCTTTGATGCACTTTGAACATGTCCATTTGACATTTATTCATTTGCTTGTTATGTCCATGTGGTAGGTCCTAGCGAGCCAGCTCCAAAGAAGGCAGCAGCCGCCAGCACTGAGGCTTAGGGTGACGACTGTTGCCACATATATCAGAGACATGAGATATTGATTACTTTTTTGGTTATATAGTATGATTGTCCTTGCTATGTCGATTCAGGTTCTTTTTTGGTTCACATCAGATTCAAGTGATGCCAAATCTGTACAGTGTGATGGTTTCTCCAAGCCCTTTGAGGTTTACTCTAGTAACAAAGGGCATCGCTACTAGGAGCAAGAACGCTACTAGTAGCTCCTGGCCTTACTACTAGGAACAAGAACGCTACTAGGAGCAAGGGCATCGCAACTAGTAACAAAGGGCATTGCTACTAGTAACTAGTATACTAGGAACAAGAAGCTACTAGTAACATGCGACGCACTTCTGCACTTTCGTCTCGGAAGGGCTACAGGTGCCGACACCACCAATACCCAAGACCCAGCTGGTTTGCTGCTTTGTGCAGGCGGATGCAGCTGCATCGGCCGACTTTGATGCTGATGCAGAGGCTGGCCAGCTAGATTGACTGGTTTCCGTTTTGGTGCACAACGTCATTTAGGAAAGTACTGCGCATAATATGACCATCGCTTCTCCATAAACTCATTGACTCATGCTGGGCCTTCAATGCGTCCACCTGCAGTCATGGTCGACCTTGAAGTTGGTACTCCGCAAGTTTTGGGTGGATGTTTTGGGTCGGAGCGAGAAGGTCGTGGCGGTGGTGAAGAGCGCGGCGGAGGGTAGCGAGGAGGCGCTAGCACAGCTGCAGAAGGGTGCCGGCGCTGGAAGCTACAAGAGCGCGATCAAACATGAAGTGGATTCCTCAGAGCTCGTGAAGCTGAAGAGCCGACGAGCGAAGTGTGGTCCCCATGGTCCCCATGTTTTTGGCTTGGATTTAGACCGACCCATCCGGATCCTACACCCCCAACCTGGTGCAAGAGCCAGCTCTGACCAAGGATGACCGTTTCAATCCTTGGAACGAGTCTGACTCAAAGACCACAACCTTTTTCTTTTAAGCGGTTGGAGGCCATTGCCACTATGGCACTATGGTAGAGTCCATTGCTATTAGGTTGGATGCCATCGCTATTAGGTGAATATAAAGTATTTTTCTTAAATTAAAGCTCCTAGTAACTTCTTGTTCCTAGTAGTAAGGCCGGAAGCCCCTAGTAGCGTCCTTGCTGCTAACAAGCGATGCCAGGAGCCCCTAGTAGCGATGCCCTTTGCTCCTAGTAGCTTCTTTTTCTTTTGAGCGGGAAAAGCAACCAACCACCTTGGCCTTGCCAAGGTGGCGAGCATGGCCTTCGGTGCCGAGGAGCTGATCAGCGCGAAGATGAAGCGGTCTGGACCTTGGGACGACTTCGTGGTTCGAAGAAAGACGGTTCCCGGCCTTAGTTGGATTTAAAGTCCGGCCGTAACGGTCTGGAATGCCTTCATCTTCATTACAAGAACACTTTCCTCGCTTTCCGGCCTTTCAAGTTAAGCTTCCCAGCTTCCCTGGAAATCTAGGAACCAAATCATGAGCGTGAGCTATCCCGTGTCCAATAGCTAGGATCATCCAAGTAGCTAGGAGCGAACTTCGAAAAAACGAGGTCAAAACGGATCCGGAAAGGCCGGCCGCTTCAGCTGTCTTTCTGCGCTTCCGTGCCGCTTCGGTGCAGGGCGCCCACGCGGGACTCGGCGCTGAAGACGGTGCGAGCGCTCCAGTGGAACCCCGGGGCCACCTTGCCGGCGCTGCCCGCACTGCTGTGGCTCGGTCGCCATCGCATGCGGTGCCGACTGGGAATGAAACAGGGGTTCAAAGGTCTCAGACTACCAGTGACTACCAGTGACTATGTCAGACTACTGTATATAGATTTTGAGATGGAATGTTTAGTTTTGACTTGGCAACTCAGACGCTGAGGCTTTTGCTGGAAGAGACAAAGCTGAAGTCGGAACCTGGAGGTTGGGAATGAGAGGAGCTTGATGTTGTTGTTCAGCAGGTTCCGCT